CCATCGGAGATGATGGAAATAGATATATTTATATTAGTGTATGTGATATTGTATAGCAATTATCATTTACTACTAGTCGCCTAGGCGGACGCCTAGGCGTCATGGCGTTACACTGGCGCCGCGACTCGCCTTGGCGACGTGATAACTATGGAACTCAATCGACTTTAATGTTCTTCTCAGTACATCCACAAGGCTAAAGTTACTTTAATGGCTGAAATGGCTAAATCTGCTCAAGTATCAAAGCAAACCAATCCAAATCATACATACCAGTATATCCCACTCGGAGGTGGTGAGATGTTAGTAGTAAGTACAGTGTACTTCTATCTCAAGGAGTGTTTACTATCTAAAATAGTTATCAATTCAATGTTGTTTATTTTTAAAGAATTCAACTAGGCTTTGAAAATTGAAATAAATTAGTGTTTGATGAAAGTCTTGGTGGATAAAGGCATAAAGCTGGTAAGCTTAAAATGACCAAACAGGCTCTCACTCATAAATGGAGGGTGTATCACTATAGATATTTGCAGGCACCATATGAAGAACATTCTAGCCTAAGACCATACCACTCACACTTCAAATCAATTTCCAAGGTTCTGTGAGTCATACCTTAATAATATGATGAGCCTTCATTACAGGGAGACCGAGTTCAGATAGTTTTTTGGAACCCCAGCTCTCGAACCAATGAAGACCAGCACATTCTTCAAGCATGTGCAAGACAGAAGATTGAGTTATAATGTTATCAATCTTTCCTTCACCTAAATTGACAACTGGAACACTCTTCATTCTATATTTAGACAGCAACAGAAGCATTGTCAGGAAAGAGTTGGAATTTTGCAAGGCAAGGAATGGGGCCCAGCGGAATGACCCAGAAATATCTCGAACCTGGAAATTTAGTAGAATGCATAGGATAAGCATTTTTGGAAACGAGCTACATATAAGGTAAAAATATTTAATGACAACAGTAACCTTTGTGTTCTTATATAGGTCAGAAGAGGTTAGAGCCTCAAAAAAGTTTCCAGAAGTTGCGGTAGGAGACTCGGGGTGAAAACTTCTGAACCTAGGAGAAGACATTCCATTAGCAGCTGCTGCGACAGCAGGACCAAGTTTACCATCTAATTCAGCACATGCTTCATCCCAAATGGCAGATCCTTCCATCTTTTCTGACTGCAAAGAAAACAAACAAGCACCACTCTATTTAAAGAAAGAATGGACAATATGATACTGGGTTATCACTCTCATTACTTATAAATGTTGAAGACTTCATTGATTTTGAGGGTGCAGGTATAGTTTTTCCTTTTCCAGAGGACTAATAAAGGCAGCTATTCAAATATTCAATGAATCAATTCAACAAGTTTGTACTCCATAACTTGAACACAGAGAGTTCTATTTAATGTTCTCAATTACTTTTCGCATACAGTTGAAAATGAAACTGTGTAGTTAATGAAATAATCGGTATGGACTACACGATTCCTTCTTGGGAAGATTAATTAGGGACGCCCAAAAATGAGGAGGAAATCTTAAATATCAGGTATTGGTCAATGTCCACCTGATAATATCACCATCAATTTTCATAAACATCAGGAATGGTATTGTCGCCTTGTCGGTGGATGGATCTACATTCATTCTAACCAGAAAAAAAAACACATCCCACAGAATATTAAGGAGCAGAATTCATCTGTTGCATGCATACCTGATGCAAAATCCAGACAACAATCCCAGCAAATTCGACAATTCCGATATATCTATCGATCCAACTGGCATCTTCAGGAGCATCCACATCCACAACAGGAGCACCTAAAAGCTTGTTCTGAGACAGGAGCTTGACAGCCTCCCCCAAGCTTGCATCCGATTTAATCTCGATCACTGCAACTCAATAGTGTCAAAGTCAAGACGAACGCCTAACCTATTCAAAAACCAATCCGAATTTCCGTCCACGCCGATTCAAATTAACAGGAAGAGAAAAAAAAGCGATTCAAAACCTTGATCGGGAGCCGCGGGGGGGAAGTCGGAAACGGGGATGCTCTCAAAGCAAGCATTGAGCTTCTCGGTGGGGCTGAGCTGCGGTTCCTGAACGTCCCAGAGATCCTCAACCTGCATCCCCAATTTCGCCTCCGGGCTGCGAGGAGTCGTCACCTGAGGACTCCCCTCCTCACTCTCCCTCATCACCATCTGCATCTCTCTATCTCTCTCAAGCTGGTGGTAACAGAAGAAAACCAGGAACCGGAAAGCGACGCAGTATGAATGTAACTGACTAACTAACCACAATGACGATGGCGAGCTTCCATTAGGAGGAAAAGAAGATCATTGCTGTATTTTATATATACAGATTTGATTGATTTTGATGGATGAAGGAATGAAGGGAAGGGGAAGGAATGAAGGTGACGAGGATTGGTGGGCTATTTTTGAGGCTAACTCTTATCCGTTCTTCAGTGGCGGCCACTTGCCCCAAACGGACACAGTAACGGAGAGAGAGACAGAAGAGAGTAAAGAAGTCGAAGGACTCGCATCCATAGTTGCAAAACAAGCACCAATACCCCTCTGTTTTCAAAACTCATTTTTAAAGTCCATGTGGTTTCAAAATATTGCACCCGTGCCCCCTCTGATCATTTTCCGGCCATTTTTTCGGCGAGGAGGGGGTATTGGTGCATGTTTTTTAAACCATAGGGGGTATCAGTGCTGATTTTTATTTCTTGCATATTTTTTGTTTTTTCCATTTTTTTTCCATTTTTTCCTTTTTTATTTCATTTATTAATAAAGATTTTTTTATAATGTTTCTTAAAATTTAAAGTTACTTTTGTTAGAAAAAATTAAGATATAATGCATATGTACGTCTCAAATTAACAAATTTTGTTTTTTCTGAAAAAAAGTAAAATTTTTTTGAGACTTCAAGAAATGAGGAATAAAATAAGAAACAAAATAATACAAAAATAAAAATGAATATCCTTTTTGGACATTTTAATTCTAAGTACTTTTTCAGGCGTGTCTAATTTTTTTTGTATAAGACTTCTTTTGCATATTTTAATTTTTTTCATTTCGTTTTTCCATATTTTTATTTTTTTATTCTAGGTTTTTTTTGAACTTTTCAAAAAATTATTCTAAGTAACAGAAGGTGAAAATGTTTAATTTGATATAGATTTAATGTATGTTAATTATTTTTATTTTTATTTTTATTTCAAACACAAATTTTAAAATTTTTGAAACATTATAAAAAATTGAAAATATATTTTTAAAAAAATATAGGAAAAGGAAAAAGAAATAGAAGATATTTTTAAAAAGGGAAGAATAATAAACAAAAATAAGAAATGAGCATGAATGCCCCCCGTGGTTTAGAAATTATGCGTCAATGCCCCCTCTTCGCCGGAAAATGATCGGAGGGGGTGTGGGTGCAATGTTTTGAAACCACGAGGATTTTAGAAATAAGTTTTGGAAACAGAGGGGGTATTGGTGCCATTTTTCCAAACCACAGGGTCATGGAAGCTATTTGGCCTTTTTCGAGGTAAACAATTATTCTCCCCCTCCGCCAATTCTTCTAATTTTTTTTTTGGACATATAGTCTCTGCAAGTATCAAGTGGAGGCTTCACTTCTTGCTATCAATCAGTGATTAAAATTCAATTTACCTCCTCTCAGTGATCGTCCGACCGGGTCTGAGGAGATCTTCAGGGATGGGGCTCATCCTTTTTTCTAATTTCTTTTTTAAAAAAAAAATTGCAAATTCAAAGTACTCATTCTCATTTCAAAAAAAAGATTCATATTTTTCTTTTTTTATTATTCTAAAAAAAATATTTCTCTTTTTTTCTTTTTAGAAATGAAGTGCGCAGAATGTAACTTGCAATCTTTCGCTCCTTTAGTTGAATTTCACCGACCTGTAAATTTTTTACTCAATCCATTTTTTAACTATATGTTTCTTATTTTTGTATTGAATGTTTGGCCAATACAAAAAGATCTCTTAAAATATAATTTCTCTATTTCATAAAATTCCTTACAATTTGACTTCTTTAGTCAAAAGGCAATACACTTTGAGTACAAATTAAATATAATCTAAAGAAATGAATGTTATAAAATTTGATATTTCAAAATTATATCTTAAAATAAATCTCTACTTTATTATATTTATATTATGAGTTATGACTAGATATACTTTTTTCCCAATTGTTTTTTACTCACTACAAGAAAAATGCAAAATTGTGACAAAATCTTGAGACGGTATTAATTTGTACTATATGACAAAACTCGTAGCACTAGAACTCTTCGAGAGATTCGTGTTCCCTTGCAATCAAATTGGAGGGAAGCGAGCTTGGTGCCACTTCCCTACAACGGTTTTGTATTAGGGTGAGCATACGATATTTTAGCCGGCAGCAATACCGTACCAAATATTTCAATTTGGTATGAGATTTTACGTCGTATTGATCCCGATCTCGAAGTTCAGTTTTATATGGTTCCATATTGATTTTGGGATGAATACATACGCACCTAATCTAAACTTTAAAATGTCACGAATTTATTTATTTTTAGTGTTTGGTTGCAATTTGTATTTCCCTGACTGTACTGGATCTGAACCAGGAATTGCTAGTGTTGGTTCCTGTAATTTTCGCTACGAAATTTGAAATGGATTTTTTCTATCACAAGTGTTTTGGCGATTTACTACTAGCTGTTGCAAATTCCGACACAGGATTTTGCAACTGACAATTTCCGTTGTGGTTTCCGTCCCCGGTTTTGCGACGGGTGTAAAATTTTCGTCGCAAAACAATTTGCGGCCAAAAATATGCTACGGGATTCTCCCGTCACAAAAAAAAAACTGATTTTTTTCCTAAAAAAGAAAGAACACCCAAACAATATTACTCTATAAAAAATAGGCACCACACGAGTAACATGATTGTTCTTTATAATTAGTTTGCCAAAGTCACTCCGTAGTTTACATACGCTAACATAGAAAGTACACAGAATCACAGATGGGAGAGAAATGACCTCTCCGGGGTTTTGGCACTTGATTCACTCATGGGAGGATTCCTTCAAACGGGCAACCAATTCATCCTGCCCAAAAGAAGGTGAAGCAAATAAAGGGAAAGCCAGGAAGATATAAAGCCTGAGCTCTGTACAAAGAAAAATGAATGAGAAGAATGAGAGAAACTCTTGCCTTTCTTCCTCTAGGTGAAAGGCCCTTTTCCTTCAAGAGTGCACGGAGTCTCTCCACTGTCAAGCTTTGGAAATGTCGGTCCGGGACATGGTTTTTTGTTCCTTCTGATTGTGACAAGGGCACAAGGCAAATTAGTTACACAGATATTTCTATAGGTATTAGCTTCAACCTAAGGCCTTGTTTGGTAGGGAGTTTTCAGAGTGGTGTCATCTTATTAATTAAATGTAATTATCTAGTCATTCAGATGATTGGGGGGAAAGTGAAGAAAAAACCCCGATAAAAATAAACATAGCTCTTCTATAAATGGCATGAAAGAGAGCGAAGATGAAAAACTATATTCCGCCCCTCTTTTATTAATTGTTCCACTTTCATTTTCAGTAACCAAATAATTGTTCCACTTTTTCTATTTAGCAAATGAAGGATGGGTAAACGGCATAAATGTTCTTTTTTCACACGTGAATGTGGGGGTATAATGTAGTGTGTAGCTATTTTCTAGTCTTAAACTAACAAATAAGGATACATTAGTAAAACAAAAAATCATCTCATCCCTCCCTCCCCTCCGGAATCCACGAATCAAACAAGCCCTTGATGTGCTCACTTGGGAGAGAGAGAGAAATTAATTTGCCGCAGATAATTTCCAATAACAGCTTGACTCTGGGATTAGTCAGAGACTCAAAGTCCAATGTGGTTTCAGAATACCAGGGAATTCTGGAACCAAAAAAAAAAGATGGCTTACCCTGGCATGAAATGGCTTGACTGCTGCTTGCAGCTTTCTTTGCGGATGCTCTACCATCCAATGCTCTCCCGGCAGCTCTAAAAAAACGTAATAAATTCACAGGTAAGATGACCATTGACGTTTAACTAGAATTACATAACTTCCCAGAATTGTTTTCCAGTGAAACAACATGCATAGATAGCACGAATCACAATCGCATAATGATACCTCTTTCTTGAACTATCATTTGCAGTACTTCTTCTGTCTTTTAAACCAGAGTCACCCCTATGCTGATCAAGCGTGAGGGATCTGATTAAGATGTTCATCTGGTCCGTCTTAATGATCTGGTTTTCTGTATATAAATAAATGACACAGTCAGGCATTAAATATATGAAGCCCCCCGTTGCAAAAAAACAAAGTATGATCAAGAATGTGAGGGTAGTCGATTTGTTTGCTCAATCAAAATCGAAAGCAGAACTTTTAGGTTCAGTTCGGATAGAGGGTTTTGGAATCTTTTTTAAGGAAGACTTTGGAGGGATTAGCTATATCTTGACAATTAGAACTTAAAACAAATTAAGTACGATTAAAATACAGAGTATTATATTATCGTCTCTAATAAGGCTTCAATTTCTTTCATCCTAATATTATTACAGTGATGGTTTTGATCTCATTTATGAATGAATGGTTGTATTGAATTTCTGTTGTTAATCCAAAAATTATTATTCTCATCAGTACCTGAACAAAAATGTTTGCAAAAAAAAAAATCATAATGACTGAAGTTCGGTATCGAACATGAAGGCCCGACTGAGATTAATAGTCACTTCTTTGAAGATGTCGGAAGGTTCCAATATCATGTGTCTCATATAAATGAAGGGAGGAAAGTAATGAGAGATCCAGGCACTACTAAAAGTCTAAAACAGCTTATAGAGCTAAAATTGTTAATTTTTAGAGAGAGAACAAGTACCATTTTCCCTAATTTCCATTTAAGAAATATTTTTAATAAACATATCAAGTGGATGCCTGCCTTTATCAGGCATTAGAATTATAAAACCAATCAGTCATGCTTCTCCATAGTCTAGAGTACACCCCGCAGCAAAGGAAATCATTGATGCTATTGAAAGAAATATTTTTAATAAATATATCAAGGACTAATTTATTTTTTCTAAACATCTCCCCTTCTGTCTGCCACACAAAATTCAACTTTGCAGTATAGTGTTCTGAAAGGTTTGACCACAAAAAAAGATTTGAAATATTCTATGTGCAAATGAGAAAACGAGGATCTTTGATTTTAAGAAATTAAGATGTAAAGAAGACGGCATGCATGTGTGCTTTTTATGATAAGAAAAAAAGAACAAATCCATTAGATGGACAAATATACTCCCTCCATCACATAAAAAGACTCCACTTTTGTCCCGTCACAGTTATTAAGAAAAGTTAAAATGCAAGGTTGAGATTTACGCAAATGAGTAAGAACTACTTCAAACCACACAATTCTTTCCTCAAAAAGAAAAAGGGAACTTTGACTTGGGACAAACCCAGAAAGTAGGAACCTTTTTTTTGGACAAAGGGATTGCATGTTAGGCATTTAATTCACTTCGGAGTTCTGATGCAGTTTTCTTGTTCACTCCAATAAGCACTTTGAAAGTAAAATCTTGGTAGCACCCAAGTTTTACCGCACCCCGTTTTGCTCTCACAAACAAGGGTTTCACAAATCAGTGAGAGCAAAATAGGATGAGGTAAAACTTGGAGGCACCATTTTGAGGGCAACCTAGCATGACTCAAACTTGAAATTGTTTATAAAAAACAAATCATCTTTCTAGAATCCATCGTCGCCTTCCACAAAAATATGAACAAATTTTAAAAAGAGTATAGGTTGTACATAAGCTTGAACAAGAAGAAAATCATCTCATTTGAATGCAGGTCTTTGCTGTTCTTTGCAAGGGAAATAACTAATTAGCAGTTTACACATGTGGCATTGCATCATTCATGACATGTATCATCATCAAGGCATTTGATTGGGGGTGATGTGTGGGGTAGAAACGAACCTGGAGGCATGGTATCACGAACACAAACATAAACTCGCATTCCACCCTACACAAAATTTTCACCAAATACATTAAAGATCATATTATAAAGGTATAAAAAGATGAAAAACTACATTTGAGCACCAGTTTGACTACTGGTAAGTGAATTTTAAGTTAATAATAACACATATATCACTTGAAAAATAATACAGAAAAAAACATGCATTAGAATAATTCTCCATGTATAATACTCCCTATGTCCCAAATTAAATGACATGTACACTATTCACATAGTCAAACTTTATTTATCATCTTTACCTATTTTCATTAGTCATTCGATAGATAATTTAGTCATGTCACCCCTTGTTTTGTAGAGCTTTTGATGTAATTTTTAATATGTAAATTTTGTTTTTTAATTCGACCCCAATTGTCTTATAACTGAAACAGGCCATATAAAATGGAACGGAGGGAGTACTTTGTAATATAATATAAGGCTTATAAGCACATGTTTTCCAAGGGGAGAAAGGGAATAGGGGAACTGAAGTTGCATTTTGGAATTCAGAATTCCATGATCAATTTGCTCATATCAACTACTAGTCTACTACACTTTGTATCCGCAGGCCTGAATTCTATCACAGTTCAACCAAAACCAAAGGAAACAGCTATCAGCAGAGAGTAAAAAGAGAATGTGATAAATCCTTGCTTCTTGACAACTCTACAACAATGTCATGTTGCCATCATATAAAAACATGTTACCTATCAATCAATCATCAGTATTTTGTTCCTATAACACCTCTCACCCTTTGCACGCCCAACAAAAAATGTAGAATTTCAGTGCACATTTTTTCCATTATTAGGGCACCCTCCTCTTTCACACAACTCTTTGTTTCCTATAAACGCATCAATTGTTGCTACCGTGATGCCAGAATACATAAAATTCATTGAGAATCCAAAGAAGACATATTTTCATTGAAGCAAAACATGAAAAACGGAAAAGCAAGAGAAATCTCATCAGCGAACTAACAGTTGCCATCTTGTGAGATCATGAAGCACGAAATAAACTGATTGATTGATGCACAACTATAACTAAAATTGATTCAAAAACACGAGAAGTCAATAGGAGTTGAAAAGTATTGGAAGAATACCGGACTGGAAGAAGGGACGGCGGAAGAAAATAGGCCTCGCGAAGGGAGGTTGGAGAGGTATTTCGATGCTTCTCCGCCGCCGCGGGGTTGAGGAGTGGCCGTTACTCCCTTGAAATTGGACGACGGAGATGGAAATCCAGAACCAGAATCCGCCATTCCTCCGGCACGCTTATCAGTTCCGTACCCGGGGAGATACTACACCGGTATAATTTTATAAAGATCAATGGTAAACATGTCCCGATGGAGTCGGGGAGAAAAGAAGAAGAAGAAGAAGATAGACAAACGAACGTGATAAAAGTGATGGGCCACGACATTTTGGGCCCTGCATCTACGGGCCTAGAAGTAAAACAAAATGAGGCAAGTGTAGGGGTGAACATGGAAGAGTATAGTCCGAGTATATTCCGTATTTAGTTCGTACCGATATCATACAAAATATTTTGGTTCGGTATGAGATTTTACTTTGTATCAATCCCGATACCAAAATATCGGTTCGGTATGGTTCGGTATCGGTTGCGTATCAAAACTTAGTTTATATTTCACAAACTAAAAAAATGAACGAGAACAAAGGAGTATTTCAGTGTTTTCGTTCGGGGTCGGTTCGATATTTTCAGTGTTTTTGTTCGGGGTCGGTTCGGTAGTTGCTCACCCTTACGGGTAACAATCTGGCTTGGTATACACATTGATTTTTTTAATACAAAGATGAGTAGAATGAAAAACTGCAGAATAATAACGTAAGTGCCCCAATTGATTAGTATATCTAATATCATCGTAATTTTGATATCACCGGGACCTAACCAATAAACCTGTTTTTCAAATTAATTTGCTCACTTAAATTTCAAAGAAATTTTGTTTAAAAGATGTTGAATAGTAAATCGTGAGATCAAAATATTTTAAGAAAAGAGAGAAATATTTAAACCACATATTCTTTTCTAAAAAGAGAGAGATAAAGTAAGAAAATTGTTTGTATTTTAGAAAGAATCCTTTATAGTATGTAGTTTTTTTATACTCCTTATTTAGTTCATAATTTTTACTTATCAAATATTACAAGGGTAGTCATTGTTTCTTAGTCCTTTATCACTCTCGTTTTTTTATATTTAGTTCATAATTTCTCACCCCCTTCTCCAAATTAAACCCATACCTAATCCTTGGCTACCCCTCAAAACCCTAATGTCAATCTTCGTCTTCATCGTAGAAACCAAACTTATTGTGTTCGTCTTCTTCACACATACCAATTTGAATGCAGCACTATAAATCATGCAAACAAAGGCCTGGAATAATATATGACGACGAGGAGGGGTTTAAGATGGAAACTTAATTTTTTTAATGCCTTCTACTTGGCATGTAATAATAATATGAGTAATGAAAGACTGACCGTGGAAAAAAACCAAAAAAACAGAAACTGCATTTATCATATTTGATAAGGACTAAATATGAAAACCACCTAGTATAAGCACCATTTATGAAGTTCACTCAAAAACTTTTGTTGGGATGAGAGAGGATATTATAGTTATGCACGAAATATACTAAAAATGTATATGAATTTTATACAAATTTTTATATACTTCCCAGTTGTTCTAGTGAACTCCAATGCAGAAAGGGGTTTATGGGAGAGATAGAGTGCATAAAAATGCTAATAACAATTAGAATAGGCACCAATTAATCAAGACACATTGTAGGTAAAAGCTCAGGGAGAACGATTTAAAACTTTTGTTGGGAAGGATAATACTCAGTATTTATCAAATAAGTAAATGCAAAAATAGATCAGGGCACAATAATATTAAAAAAATACTATGTCAATATAAGTAGCAAAAAATAATATTATTGAGTACAACATTAGTCAATATTAGTAAGCTTTAACGAGTAACATATGCGCTTCAAGCCTTCAAGCGATCAACGGCGTCTATCAAAGAACCAAAACTTGGACCGCGCGAAAAAGCATCCTTTCTAGCCCCAGATTGATCAATGTGGAAGGAAAGGTGGTTTATCTAGTGTTATTCTGATATGAAAAAAGGTCAAAAAAAACTAGATAATGGTAATCGTCACTTCCCAGCCAACGGCAATTTCACAGTCCAGCAGGAGCCTTGCGATTCAGGTAGCGTATGACTGCATCTTCAACCCTGATAACATTTGCATACACAACAGTTGATGGCAATCATCATCAGATAAAAAAGGTTTTTTTTTTGCATTAACTATTATCAAACACATCAATCAATATATCAATAAGCTTGTTTTGTCCCAAATGCAAATTAACAGTTAATATAAGCTAACATGTAATAGGTGATTGTTTTCAACACAGAAGGCCAATGCCCAATGTGTGTTTGGAGATTGCTGAGAGAAGTTGTTTTCTTCTGTTCGGTTTGATCTTGGAGAAATGCCAAGGGAAATTAAAAAATGATTGCTTGCTTATACACTTTGCCTATATTGAATTTTCTTAGCGTCTAAATATTGAAAATGGATTTATTGAGCTTTAGATTATCTTTTTAAATTCATCCCATATTTACTTTCCTTCCAGTTTTCAATAAACGGAACTGCAGGAATATGCTTAAAGAGCAAGAAAACTTACCAAGCTTGATGGTAGAATCCTGAACGCCTCTCGTGTTCTTCATCACGGACTGAATCCCCAGAAACAATCTTTAAATCCCTGGCTTGAGAGGCAATAAGGGCATTGATGAACTCGGCCGGTGACTGGCTGAATCCTACAAAAAAAGACCGCCTTTGATAATGTTCGTGTATTTTCTTTATGGCAGATGAAATAGCCTCGTCACACGCATCAATCTCCTTGTTCTTCCCCACACTTTCCAAGTAACTTAACATTTCTTTTTGTGGCATAAAGGGGACATCGACCAGTATGTCATAACAAGCATTCCCACTAGGGCTATCCCCAGAGAGCCTCACCTTGTGCTCCAAATGTATAGGCTGCGGAATGGTCAAATGCTGGTCAATCTTTTGACTTACCGCACAGAATTTCATCTTCTCTTCCCCAAAGATCTTCCTTAGAGGCGGATCACACATAAAAGAAGATGTCTCGTCTGGAATCTGTAGATTCTTGGCCTTCACATATTGCCAAAGGGCATTCAATATTCTTGCACGCGTCTCCACTTCAATTCCAAGAACGTCTTGTAAAGCTGGTGAGAGTTTATACTTCTCCGGTAAATGGTTCATTTCCAGTCTGATGAGTGCAGTGAATTCTTTGTCCCCTTTCCTCCTCACCTCAAATCCATCATGTAGCTTTGGAGATCTGGAACTCTCCCACAAAATCACATGATTATCTGAATACAGAGTCTGATCAAGATACACAGTAATTTTCTTGAAAAAAGAAGAAAATTTGGGATCTGAAGGGGTTTGGTTGTCCAGAATTCTCCCAAAAATCCTAAGTGACCATGTCTGGTTAGAGAAGGTGTTGAACACATATACCCTAAGTGTCTTCTGAACACGCTGAGGGTTCTTGAGAGACTCCATGATGTTCGTCTTCATTCGCACGAGGGAGGCATCCAGACGAGATTCGAATTCAAGCAACTGGGTGTAAAGTGCAGATTCTGGCAGGAGAGAGGCCACCTTTTCAGGCAAGTGTTTGTCCGGGAGTTTCCGCTTCCTTTTGCGTGCAGCAGGTGCTAGTTCCATGGTCTTCAACATCGGACCACTAACTTGGCCCTGACCGGCTGGGCGGGAATGCGGCCTCGGTGGCACCCTTTTGGCAGCCGGCGAAGAGACACCCACATTTGTGTTGGCAGCTCTAGTGCTTTGTGGCTGGGGATGAGGTGGCAAGTGGGACTGAGAAGGTCCCCCCTGAGCAGATGCTACCGTTTGGGAATTGGACACCTGAAAGTGACCCGGGAAGTGAGGAGGCCCTCGAAGAAGATTGGGTTGAGCTGGCTGGCTCTGACTTACAGGCACGGATTGAGGCGTTTGCATTGCGCCCCGATTTATCCAAAAAAAAAAAACAGAATCTATCTATCTTCTACTGAGTTTTTTCTTCGATAATGCAGTTTCCTTGCCAATCCTACCACCAAATCTAAACGAAGAAACAGTGGAACTATCAAGCCTACTGCAAAACTCCAGCTATATCAGACATGAAGCTCTTTTAGGGTTCATAAATCCCAATAGGATTACCCAAATTTTCGATATCCAAATAACGAAGAGGCTATATCAGCTCGGCATATAAATTGTTCTAGAAATTGAACTAAAGATGTTCACTTTTTCTCACACCATCAATCCAGAAACCCCATGAAATCTTCTTTTGCCTAAGCAATCATCTCAAAAACGCAGCAAAACGCAATCGACGAATTCATAGCATTCAAAGGTTCAAGATGAGAAGAATAAATCGGAAACCACACCTAGAGGATCGATGAATCAAAACAACGGGGAATCTCGAATGAGAATCGCAGTCGACGAATTCTCAATCTCTTCGCCTCCTCCATGAATGGCGGCTTGGGCCTGGACTCTGGGAGTGTTATTTTGGAAAATTGGGCTATACCCGATTTTACCGATTTTTTTTAAAAAATCGGCCCTTGGCCCAGTGGAATTGGACATGTTGCACAGCCCAAAGCAGGCCCTGTGTGTGTGTGTGTGTTTGTATCCACTATTGGATTTAATATCAAATGGTGCTCAGTAAATGAAAAAACATTTTTTTAAAAAAAGTTTTTTTTAAAAGACAAAAAATATAAAGTAATGTCATAATTGTAAGTAAGTTAAATTTCTCTGTCATTGCAAAATTGCACTACTTTATTTATAAACGTGCAACATGATGAACAAAAAATGTTTCCAACTTGAGTCTTTTATATAATTGAATTGCTTTTTGTAAGATTCGGCATTAGAATGAAAGTTACTAACTCATATTGTTATCCCAGAATTTTGCAAAATTCAAGGTCCTCATATTAAATCATACTCCCTCCGTCCCAAAAAGTTTTTCCTGTTTACTATTACGGCCTCTCGATAACTCTTATTTGTTTGCGTATTTTCATTAATCATTTGATAAAACAAAATATTCTTGTCACCTCTTATTTTATAGAGTTTTCGATGTAGTTTTTAAATATAATTTTTTATGTGTTATTTCCATATCAATTTGCAAATAAAATCATTTTAAAATCTACGGGGTTTTGCACGTTAATCAAAGTAGGAAATTCTTTTTGGGACGGAGGGAGTATACCTTAACATGTTTTAACATCTTTTGTTCGAATGGATGAAGTGCAAATTAACCCAAAAAACAGAAAGAAATGAATATTTAAAGATGTATTGAAAAATTATTGTGATTCTAAAGTCTATATAAATATGGACAATCTCACATACTTTCATAAGTTTATAGTTGTATCTCCTTATTTTTACTATGCCCAATATAAAATATTATTTTATGTATGAAAGTCCATAAAATTAACTTAGACCTAAAGAGTGCAAAAGAAATTGCCTTATTGAAATGGAGTGCTTCTGTAGTGCCTTGTATGCGAATGTACCGTGGATCTTAGATCCATAGTAGAATTTGTCCTTGAAATGATTTTGAATTTTGTAAAATTTTAGGATGATCTATGATTTAATAATTTTTAATTCTGCCGTGGGTCAAAATCTTTCAAAATTGTGTACTTTATGAAACATAATATGACAAAAATCATGTTGCTCCACAATATTACTCCGTATTATACTACCTCCGTCCCATTTTATAACGCCTGTTTCGGTTTACGATGTTTGACTGAAATTATTTTCAAACCATTTTATATGAAAAATGGTATAGAATTAAAAAATAAAAATTACATATTAAAAAACTATTTCAAAAGATCTACAAAACTAGTAGTGACAATAATATTTTATTTTATCAAATTGATAACGAAAATAGAGAAAAAAAGTGAATGAAGTTTGACCCTGTGAATAGTAAACAGGCATTATAATTTGGGACGGAGGGAGTATTTGTTTTGCTCATATTTAATGTACGTATAAACTAATCTTCAAATTGGCTAAGACAGTATTTCGTTCAACTTATTTTCTACTTATTACTTATTCTTATTATAATTAGATCAGACCAGATCAGACACAGCTTTAATTATAACTACAATCAAATCAGACTAGATCAGATCTTCAAAAAATTTGATCAAATCAGGGGAACGGAAAGCAACCTAAGCCATAAACCACACCAATTAAAAAGAAACAGTAACGCAAGAAAGTACAACCAATTGATAATATGATATGTTTACCCTCTAAAAGGTGGATAATCTTCATTAAAAAGAAAAGCATGCTTTCTTTTTCTTTTTGTCAAAGCTATGGAACAGAATAGAAAAGGAAAATGGGACAGAAAAACTAAATGGGAGTGCCATAAGTCTGCAATACTTAGTTTCTTGATTATGATGATCAGTAGCTAATATCAGCCTAAACACTACATGTCCACTTTGATTTTAGCATCAAGAAGGGATGCTTCTTGGAGAAATGCCTTGAAGTGCTGGTATGAATGTTGCACATCATCCACTCCACACACCTCCCTGATACTGTGCATCGACAGCTGAGGGGCCCCGACATCCACTGTTCGAATCCCGACCCCGCTTGCCAATATGGGCCCGATGGTTGAACCGCATGGCACGTCATTGCGAACCACAAAATCCTGTGCAGATATTAGTAGAGTGAGCGCTCGTTTGGCTAGCACAGTTTCAGCGATTAGCTTTAGCCGCCATTAAAACGTTATCGAAAACACCGACACTAATTGAAAATGTTGTTACGAACCGAGCTTAAGTTGTTCGGGACACTTAATTAGAAAAAAAATATGAAAACGATGGGCATTTGATGAGTTCTGAAGGTACGATAAGATATGAGATTTGAAATTTGGGAGAAATGATATGGGTTTTGAAATCTGAAACGAAGTTGTTTGGAGAGATTTAAAATGATAACTTAATTAGTGAAAGACCGTGGTGATTGGCAACGGAGGAGATTTGGCAGTGACAATGGTAGCCGGCGGCGGAGATTGGTCAACGGTTGAGAGAGATACCAAACCCATATATTGATATCTCCCAAATTGAGGATATATCAAGACTCTCCATTTGGAGATATCAAAACACATATTTTTTTGCTCACCAAAAACACACCGGAACTAGTTTCTTTCGTTCAAATGGAACAGATTTGATAAACCAAATATTAAAATTTATAAAACTGGAAAATTCCAAAGTTTAGAAATTGTCATTTTAGGGGCAAGTGTAACTTTTGGAAAAGTTTAGAGAAAAAAAATATTTTCACTAATTACATTTTAATGGATAGCCTTAATTACTCACCTGAATAGGAAGGTTGTGTTTGGAAGCTATCTCCCTGAATATGAATGAAGTGATGGCATTGGTTGCATACCGCTGATTTGCATTGTGTTTGATCACAAGCCCGCTGTGCATTTTTGGCCGATGGTTATCTTCATGCTTGTCCTAAAAAAAGAAAAACAATTCAAAATGCTACAAAAAAACAAGTGCTTGACTAAAATATATGCAATTGAAACATTAATTTACCATATAATTGGGATGCAAAGCATGTGCCATGTCAGCAGAGACTAACAAACTCCTCTGGATTGCTTTTGTGATTAACTGGAACACATACAGTGACACAATAAGTGCTCCATTCATCAAAAAAACAAAGCTCAAACTTTAAATTCATACCAAAATACTTCGGTGTTGTGGAGTATTCGAGAAAATTAACAAATAAATAAGTGTTGGTATGTTGGATAGAAAATCCATAACACTTGTCATTACCTTTGGGTCAGGGTCAAATGTGCTTGTAATTCGAGAGAGGGAATCTAACATTACAGGGGATCCAGCTCCTTGTGCTGAATTGGACCCAACCTCTTCATGATCAAACAAGGCCACCATTCTTACACCAGTTTCATCCTGTAGACTGTTCTCAGAGGAGGTTGCATCTATCAATGCCTGCACCAACAAGGTACAGAATCCATTGACGAAAAAATATAAATTTTAAAATAAAAATACTAGCAAGTAGCAACCACAAGTTTTTTTGCCGACATTAGTTGAACATGAGAAAGATGTTTCTGCTCAAGTGCTAATTATTTTCGCATTATCATATTGCCATGGTACATAAAAACAAACAAGTTATAAATAGATCACGTTCACATGCATTAACAAATATGTTCGACATTTCAAATCATATAAAATTATCTAATGGAATTGCTTGTAGGGTACACAAAATTCAATAACATTATTCATAAGTTCAAATTATTATGTGAACCAAGTTCTTGTATTTTTACTTGAGTCGATTGGGTTTAAGATTTGTACTAATTTTTTTGAAATTTCAATAAGCTTTCCAAGTGCAGAAAACTCTCATTACTGTGGATTGTGGAAATATTTTTGTTACCTTTAGAGAGCAAAATGACATGCAAAGATTGTCAAGTCTTCCAGAAAACACAAATTCCTTCATAGCACCACCAATAATACTTGGTTGAGTGTCATACGCTTGCAGCTCAAAGTCACATATATCACCAGGTTCACAGCCAGTCTCAGTTGCTAGAAGCTAGAAAACAAAATTGAGATTGTAATATGTCACTCGGGTTATCACCACACATTGCATATCTTCAAAACAATATTTGGAACACATAAGCCTCTCACAACGATGTGCAATTACAAGAAAACATACAATAAGGGAAATAATAGTACCAGATTACGAAACAACAAATACAAAGTTCAATAGTGACCTGCAGAAGAAGGGAATGATGTTTTTCAGCACTAGCATTTTCCTTTCCACGGGACTTCTGATCACTTGAATCCCCACTATCAACTGAATCTCCGCCACATTTATTCAGTTCTGCCTGTGTAAAAATAATATTATATGGTTCAGGAATCGAGAATGGCTGAGAAAGAGTTCAGAATAACAGCTCAATGTCTTACTGCATCAGGAAAGCATGCTTATTACCCTTTATCAGTCATACTACAAGAGGTTAAAAAAACTACCTTAACACATGTTGCCAGAATTGGAAGAAGATGATTCTGTGTGTTAACTTTAAATCCATCATTAACTCCCCTGTGAAACCAGAAGAGAATAAAGTCACCTTCTATAGTGAAATTGATGACGGAACCAAATGAGAAAATGAATACTTCGTATATAATAAGTTTCAGTGACCTAATGAAAAAAACATGATTCAAGCACAATATTTTGGCACAAATAAGCAACCACCATATCCTCTGTGAGCCAAACTTTTGAAGAATAAATTAATACTAAACCATTTCGGGGTATGTCACACACAACACAGTATATGTTGGAAGCTGCATTTATAGAATTTTTTTTGTTTTCCAATCCCTTGTGCCTTGTTATAGGGATCCATGTAAAGTTAAAGTACCCCACTCCTAAACAACATTTGTCTCTACATTTATGTAATTTAATTTAATGAAAAAAACAGTTATCTTAAGCAGATCATAAATTTTTGAATTGAGAATGGAGAAATAAGAGAAATGTCTCCTAACAAATTGTTACAAAACAACCATATTTTTATCATAACAGGTACCTATCCAAGTGTATTGCCAAAGTTGGAATCCTCATTATAGGCTTCTGGATTCTAACAAGACGGTGTTCATATGCCTCTGATCCCTCTTTCCTTTCTCTTACAATTATTCTGCCTGCAACGGATAAATCACGATCGAACCACGTGTGCCACAGACCACCTCCATATGTTTGTACACCAACTTCTAGATAGCCACCTTTAGATACCTGAAAAAAATACAGTTATTAATTCATTATGAATCACATACCATTCGGATTCTCCCTTAACCACAAACCTAGATTACCTTTGTAACCGGCTTCAATTTCAGGCAGGGACTATCCGTGTGAGCTCCAAGAATATAAAATCCATTTCCAGAAACATATCTAAAACAGAATCCAATGATAGCTAACATTAGATATAAGCACCCTAGAATACAACGCCTTGAAGTAGTGTTATGCATCATTTTCGGGATCTATTCAAAATTTCAAAACAAGCAATTTGCAGAAAAAATGAACAGCAAAGTGCTAACTTATAGCCTGATTCACCATCATCTGATCATTCAATCAATGGAATGCAAGCAAAGCGAGTATTAAACCAAAAACTCAAATCTTACTTTTGGCCAATGGCGAAGGCAACGATGGTAGAGTGATTCCTTGTGAAGAAATACTTGTGGCCGGCTTCCAACTCCCAGTCTTCTCTCTCGGAGATTTGATGATATCCTGCACTCTTCAACTTCTTCTTTGATTCCTCTGAAATTGAAGTCCAAAAAACAGTAATTAGAAGGGGAAAAAGAAGATAATGAGAATAACCGTATGCAACGCATGATGTCGGTCGATGAGCGAGATTGAGAAACAGTACCGACGGCATGAAAGGCCGTCGGAGAAGCATTCAAGAAATCAACCAGATCAGCTGCCGCCGAGTGTTTCATTGCTATGAGAGTTTGAGGCCTCGGAGATACACGGCAAAAGGTTCAGAAAATAAAGAGAGAAAAATGAAGACAAATATGAAAAAAAAATATCTAACGTTACTTGTGACATACGGAGTAGAAAAATGAACAATTTTTTATTGATTTTTTGAATTATACTAGTATTTTAACTCGGGGTTGAGTGAAATTTTTGACGATTCTGAATTTTTTCAATGCAATATATTTTCCACAATCAGGTAAATATATTTCTAACACGATTTTAATCAATAGACAACAATGCTAAAGTAGAACATACGGAGTACAATATTTGAGGAATTAAAAATGTACTCAAGAAAGTCATTTTAATTCCAAATTTTCTAAAAAAAACTCCAGGGTGCAAAATATTTTTGGTATGGTTGTAAGGGTTTCATTGTCATTTAAAACTAATATTTTTAATCATGTCTTTACCTTTACTTTTGAAACGGTAACATAAAGTTGACCATGAGTAAATACCGAATTAGTTAAAAATAATATCCCGGGGTATAAGAAAAGACAATGTTTGACATTGGTTTTTTAATAGTTATAGCAAAATATAAGACTATTGAGAATTATCTTCCCTAGAACTTCATTCGGGGTACGTAAACCTTTTTCCCAATTGGATTTTCCGAAACCACAATTGCTTTGATAATGTTCTTTTGGAGCTCTTCAATAATTAATCTTCTACTATTACACAATCTTGATATTTGTTTAAAACATAATTGGTACCCTCTTTTTAAAATTATTTTGTGGCTTTGGATTCTCAAACATTTGATTTCATTAAAAAAACTAACTATTATCCAATCGTATTCAACACCTACATCTAAATATTTTTGGCATGAAGAACCTGAACTTAAGTGCTCGTTATCACCTCCTAGAATAAGGGATTGGAAAACTTCATTTACCATCAACGACCGCGAACGTGGGTGCCAATAGTGCACTATTCTAAAAAGAGATTAATTTTTCATGTTCTCTAATAGATTTGGATAAGGAAAATCCATTGTACTTTTGAGGGGGTACTTGTGTTAAGAACCAAGAATTCAAAAGGGATTTCAACGTCAATAATTCCATCAATCACTTGTCAAAGCTTTCCATCTTCAACTTTGATTATCCAATCAAAAAAAGCTTGTGTTTCCCATTTTTGCAATAGGCTATAGATGAATGTCATCTCATATTTTTGGTCAATGTATAACTTTACAATACAATCATATTTTTAAAGAATTGGTGGTAACACCGACAATTTCCTCTCTCAAAACTTTGAGTAAACTAAAAGAATATGGATAAAATTACCTCACAGTACAATTGTTTTCCCTCCGAATAGTTCATTTATGGAGTTATTATGAGTGACCCTCATTACATATTTCATTGTGGAATCCAATGTCTTTCTCATCGCGATGATAATGTCTCTTTCTTATTAAATGAATCAAGATCTCTAACTATTATATCAACAACTTCGTGTACTAAGAAGATATTATAATTTCTTGAGCTTCTAGTTCTACTTCTCAACAACCTCAATGATATATTAGAGATGGAACCATTATCCATGAAGTCTCTAGTTTTTCTAAAAATTTGTGTTAGGTCATTATGCTCATCTATCATATTTTTCAAATCATCGACTAAACTTCTATCAAGAGCCAAAGAGTTATTGTCCATACTATACGAAACAAATAGAAGAATTTGTTTTGTTTAGTATATTAATAATGTTTCATGAGTATTATATTATCAAACACATAGAAATAGTGCATACCCGTATTAAAAGAGTGCACTTAATGGAAAAAATTAAAATCTTTAATTTAAAATAAAAAAATATCATTTGTCACATCATAGAGTACATTATTTCTCGAACGTGTTCGATGATGCGAGATTATAGTCGATGAAGACCTCTCTCCTTCTGTATCTGTAATAGTTATCTTTAAATAAATATTGTAATTTTTGTCTAAAAACTTTAAATATATGAAAATTATTATCCATTAATATTTGTTACATTGCTGTTAATGGTCGATTAAATAAATAAGTAACAAAATTACTTATTTACAATATTTTTACATAGATGTCAAAATAAGCACATTTTATATTTTTCAAGAATTTTATTTAAAAGTAATTCTACTTATAAAAATTAATATCATAACATAATCATTTCAATTAGGAATGCCAATTAATAAATAATTTCTTACACATAAATACATCCGTACCAAGTTTTCATCATTTTACATAGTTATTTATGGAAAATAGTAGGTTTTGTCTCAATTCACTTTGATGTCAAATCTTTAATTATGCATTTTACATAAATACATCCGTACCAAGTTTTCATCATTTTACATAGTTATTTATGGAAAATAGTAGGTTTTGTCTCAATTCACTTTGATGTCAAATCTTTAATTATGCATTGTATAATTTAAAAAACAAGTTAAATAAACATTGAAATTTTAATGATTGTTCTCTAATGCATTAATTCAAACAAAAAATAATACAAAAAGCATTAACAATCTTATGATTCCGAAAGGAGATTTATATATACATTTGGCAAACTCTCGTGCAATTCTTTTTTCATTTTGTTTGAATAAGAAACTATTCAAGACTATGAAAATATATTTTCTTTAAATTTATTTGATTTAAACAGTTGATCATTTAAAAAATAATCTAGACACTTCTTGTTTTATAAAATACCCCGTATTAACTTAAATATATTTTTCATTATATTTTTATATTCAAATAAATAAAATAAAATAATTAATTTAATCCTATTACAAATAGAAATAAAATTTTATTTTAATCAATTACATTATAAAATTAAAATAGTTACTTACAAAATTATGTATAGTAATCTTTTTTATACTTGAACACTATTACAATCCAACCATCTCTTTTTAAAAATATGATTAATGTAATTTTTAAAATATGTTGTTTGTTTTTTATTTCATATTAATATTGATAGAAGTATGTTCAAAACTAAAAGTTTAATCACATGTCAAATAATATTTAATATCAAGGAAGAACACTTAAAGCACATGGAAGGTGAAGGACACTGAAAGATTGACATAAACAATAATGGAACGAATGTAAATATGCATTCCACCAAATGTAATTATAAAATCATTAGATGCAAGTTCAATATTAGCTAAAATGATTTCAAGTAAATGAGAAGCCAAACCGGTTGAGAAATCACACACTGCAGGTAAAGCAAAGGAATCAAAATCTTGTGCAATAAATCAAATTAGAATTGTCAAATGAAACTCTAAAAATTTGAATTTTAAACTCTATTGTACGTGTGTTTTTATTTTCAAAGGGATGAAAACGTTTTGATGTCTATGACACTGATATGAAAAGGCTGAGACAGAATGATACAACATATTAACAAATAAAAGAAATTATTTATATGAATCTTCAAATACACAGAGACTTGAATCTTGGGTTTAAAATTCACCAATTTTTATACATTTCTTTTTTCTTTGAGGGAAGATATTTTGATTCATTTCTATACCCTAAAATATATAGGAAAGGGGTTTATATTGCCAAACCGTATCCGGACCACAAAAACTATCACAACTAACATACTCTTAACGTGGGGCTTTTAAACCTAAAATGGTTGTAAAAGTAACACATTACCAGCCATGTTTACTCCAAAAAAAAAGCAGACTGCGCTGCTTGCAGAATCTTGAAGCCAAAAACCAGAAGACCTACAATGCAAAAATTTAAAAAAAACTAAAAGTTGAATTAATATCCAGTGTCTAAAGTTGCACATTCTGCTTGGGAGAAACCTATAGACAAAACCTGGAAAGCACAACCCAACCCAAAACAGAAATCACTAAAAAAATTAGAAAACCAAGACCCAACGTGATGAACCAATGAACTATAGAAAAAAAATAATCTTCAATCCATTATAACAACATGAAATAAGAGCATCAACGGTGTCCTTTTAAAGCAACAAAAAGGTAATACAGATTACATAGGTTCTGCACCTTGAACTGTTTATACTTGGAGCTCGAAAAATCTCAAGCTCTTTTCTCAATCCGTTCTTCGTTTTTATCTTCTCAATTCGTCCAATTGTTCCAACCAAGTTAAAGATGCAGTAGATGAATTGCATATATATGCACTGATTGTATGTATATATATATCCTTTATATTAATCTCGGAACCCTGAGAATTCGTTCAAAGCAATGAATATAATTACCAAATAAAAAAATCAGCATAATAAAAAAATTAACACTTGAGGCCATGGATTAAATTGAATGAAGGAAAGAATACTTCATATATGAAAAGAATAATGATAAACCGGAAATAGGGTTCTAATTGCGAGCAATTGGCTATTACCGATTCGAATTGAGAAAGGAAACTTGCGATCGTTGGTGAAGGAAAGCTGATGTTGCGGTTTTTTCAGCTAATTTTGGTCGACATTCAAAAGGAAAGGAGATGACGAAGGGCTGAGGAAATCGCAGATTTCTCGCAATGAAGATGGAAAGGCCTTCCGCTGAAATTGGGACGATGAAGAAGGGCAAAATTCCTTTTCTTCTTCCGCTTGGAAAACGCACGGGAGAATGACGTGTGGATGCTGATTTGTCAATAAAATAAACTCTCATTAAGTACACGTGTCATCATCTAATTTAATCAACTCTCAAATATTATATTAAAGGATACAGGATTTTCGGGATAAGAATATTTAAAGGAAATTATCTAAAATATGAGTAAAATTTAACGTGATGCCCAAAACAGAATTGACATAGTTTTATTTATAAATTAAGATAATATTTTTTTAATATTATATATTGTCATTGTTTACATTATAAATTTACGGAGTAATTTAAAAATAAAACTTGAATATCCTATTTTACTTCCTGTTCTACATTTTATTCATACTTTACCTTTTTTTTGTACAACCATTCTCAAAACCCTAATTCAATTTTTTGTCCATATTTTAAAAAATTTGACGAACTTGGGCCGAAATGGTAGTACCCGAAAAGAATTGGGGCGGCAATTGGGAACTTCTCCCTCTCCCGACTACATAAACCCCTGCGCACATTCCAAACCCTCGACAATGTTGACCTAGTTCGCCGTTCCCCTCTTCTCCATCCATCCATGGCGCTCTACCTCTTGCACGAGACGGCCTCCGGCTATGCTTTGTTCGTCGCGCACGGACTGGATGAGATCGGGCAGAACACAGATGCGGTTCGGAAGTCTGTCCTCGACCTCAACAGGTTCGGCAAAGTTGCGAAGCTTGTCTCTTTTAGCCCATTCGAATCTGCTCACGATGCTCTGAGCCAGTGCAATGCTATTTCTGAAGGTATTTGTTTCTCCAGAATCCGTTCTTTGTTGTATATCTCGTGCTCGCTTGTATCATTATAGTTGAAACGTTTTTGAACTCGATTCCTTGTTAAAGCAAGTTAACGCTTTCAAAACCCTAAGGACACCCATTTTTCTAAGCATGCTCAGCACTTCCACATGAAACGGATTCTTATATATCTATCGGAATGGTTTTTGGTATATTTTATAAGTAAACTTTGTTTTAGAATTTCAATTTTAACGAAGGATAATTTAGGTATAAAAATTCTTCTTTTTATTTTTTTATTTTTAATGAAGGATAATTTAGTGTTATTAGTGCTTGAAAGGATAATTTAGTGTCGAGCATTTGAACAATATGAGTAATGTTAGTGTTGGAGGATGAATCATTACATCATGGATTTAAGTTTATGTTTACTAGTTTGTGTTTTCGATGAGAGCTGATTTGTGTATTCAATGATTGTTTATAGGGCAAATGACTGATGGGTTAAGGAATTTCTTGGAGCTTACACTCCCAAAGGTTGAGGGAAAGAAGCCTAACTTCAGCCTAGGGGTTGCTGATCCTAGGATTGGGTCTCAAATTTTTGATGTAACTAAGATTCCTTGCCAGAGTAATGAGTTTGTTCTTGAGCTTCTGCGCGGAGTGAGGATGCACTTTGAGAAATTTATTGAGAATCTGAAGGTTTGCATTTCTTACTCACTTCATCTTGTAGCTATAATGTAATAGTTGTGCTCTCATTTGCAAGTTTTGTGATGATTTTATAGGCAGGTGACTTAGAGAAGGCTCAGCTGGGGTTGGGTCACAGTTATAGCAGAGCAAAAGTCAAATTCAATGTCAATCGTGTTGACAATATGGTTATTCAAGCAATATTCATGCTTGATACTCTTGACAAAGATATAAATACTTTCTCCATGAGAATCAGGTATATATATATATATATATTTCTTCCAATAACATGGCATAATACAACTGTTTCTTGTCTTCAATGTGTGCCATGTATAGTGATCTGACAAACTCAGATATTTGTGGCATGTGCTCTACCACATGACAGTTTTTGGCTTCCGATAAATGTACTTCTTTCCAAAAAATGCAATAGTGTGAATCCTGCTGTGAAATTTCTTTCATAGAAGTTCCTGATTTGGTACTTCAACCTAGAAACATGGACAATAGCTGTTTCATGTAAGTTTTCTTTTTCTATTATCTCTGGTTTTTTACATTTCAATATTTACTACAGAGAATGGTACTCATGGCACTTCCCAGAACTTGTGAAGATTATCAATGACAATTATTTATATGCCAAGCTTGCTAAGTTCATTGATGACAAGGCACAATTATCAGATGATAGCATACCGGCAATAATGGAAATAGTTGGTGATGAAAATAAAGCAAAAGAAATAGTAGAAGCTGCCAAAGCATCTATGGGTAAAACATTGAGAATTACATTTTGTCACTCAAACCCCAAGTTTGACATTTAGTTGTCTTTTCTTTTATAAATTTCAGGCCATGATTTGTCTCCTGTTGACTTGATCAATGTCAAGCAATTTGCTCATAGAGTAATGGACCTAGCTGAGTATAGGAAGAATCTATACAATTATTTGATTGCTAAGATGCAAGACATCGCACCGAATTTGGCTGCATTAGTTGGTGATGTTGTTGGGGCCCGTTTAATTTCACATGCTGGTAGCCTTTCAAACTTGGCCAAGTGTGCATCATCCACCCTTCAAATACTTGGAGCGGAGAAGGCACTCTTCAGGTGATGTACCACTGATCACACTTATCTTGAATATTTTATTCTTTTTTCAGTGATGCGTATTTAAATGTCTCTCCATACATTTCTTTACTAAAGATTTAGTGTGCTAGTTACTTGCTCATTCTTGAGCAAAGTTATGAGGGGGATGCCACATGCTCATTATCTAAATATGTTGAATTACCTAGTCTTTATATATTATATGGAGTAAATAAATACCTATGACGAGTCTTAACTTGTTTTTGAACCAATGTTTCATTTTCCCAATTGTTAATTTTCCCAAATTTACCCTACATTTTCCAATTCACACATGGATAATTAAAAGTTGTAATTTCAGGGCTTTGAAGACCAAAGGAAACACACCTAAGTATGGTCTCATATTTCATTCTTCTTTCATTGGCCGTGCTGGTGCCCGGAATAAAGGGCGAATTGCTCGCTTCCTTGCTAACAAATGCTCTATTGCTTCACGCCTTGACTGTTTCTTAGGTGAATTTTTTCTTTCTGCATAAGAAAACAATAATCGTTTGTGTATTTGTATTTTATCTTTGAATTGACATGTTATTTTCTGCCTGCACAGACACCAGCACTACTAAATTTGGTGAGAAACTTCGCCAACAGGTCGAGGAGAGACTTGATTTCTATGATCGGGGAGTTGCCCCACACAAAAACCAGGATATGATGAAAGCTGTAATGGAAGCTATTGGAAAAGAAGGTATGCACCTTCATGGTTGCTTTAATTCAGTTGGCATCTTTACCATTTGAGTTTTGATAAAATAAGAATATTATTCAAGTGATGATGATAGTGGTAAATCATTTCTCACATCCTGCCCTAGCTCTTCCATGTTCCTTTTTGGTTGTTGTATCCATGATTCTCTTCATAAATGGCTAATGGTCAGGAATGAGAAATTGTTTTGTTTAGGAGTCGGGAAATATTGCCAGGAAGGAAATTTTCTTTTCTTTAAATTGTAAATATTTTGGTTATACTTTGTACGGAGTATTACATTGATGGAAACATAATATCATTAATAGTCTATTTGGTTATGACCTATTTGGATTTCTTAACCTCATATAATACTACCACCGTCCTAGAAAAACCTTCATGTTTAGATTTTTTGTCACTAAACTTTATGTTTTTGTTTTTTGAGAATTCCATAATAAACTTTACACATACGTGCCGAGTGCTGCCCAGAACAGTTCTGTTGTGGTCAAAAGTGCCCCCACCTGCCGCTGCATCAGCTGGAGAATCTGCCTGGTATATGAACCAGATGAGATTTAAAACCAAATGAGTTTGTTATAAATGGAGAAGTGGAGAACCTGAGGTGTATGGTTTTCGTATTGGGTATCAATCCAATCTTAGAGGGTATTTGGCATTGTGTTAGAGAACAACTTTGGAGCTTTTACTTTGTCCAAAAGCAACTTTGTGGGTTTGACAAATCTAATTCTGCTTATGGCGTATGGCTTCTGACTGCATAATGTGCTCCAAAAGTGCTTTGGCAAACTTGGGATTAAATGCTTTTGGCTTCTGTGATAAGTCGTCTGCTTTTCAAGTAATTTACCGGAGTGCCAAACACCCTCCTAATATTCTTTATGCTTTTAGCTTTGTAAGCAACTAAAGTTTTCTTTAATGGAGAATCTGATGTGCATACAAACCAGATGAGGTTTAAATTTCTGCTTGGATTAATATTGTTTTCACGTCTCACTCAATCTGCAGAAGCAGCAAAGGAGGGAGACAAAACTCCATCCGAAGCTTCAGGAAAGAAAGGCAAGAAGAAGTCCAAAGGTGATGCAGCAGTTGAGGATGGGCAACCCATGGAGGTAGAAGAACTTGCAGGTACAAACGGGGCCGAATCTGAAGAGCCAAGGAAGAAGAAAAAGAAGGAAAAGCGGAAAGCCGAAGATGTGGATGAACATGCCAATGGTGTGAATGGGGTTGAGGCCGCGAATGGGTCATCAAAGAAGCATAAGAAGAAGAGCAAGGATGAGGATGAAGATGCCCAGACTACCGGAGGCAAGAAGAAGAAGAAGAAGTCCAAGGTTGAGGACGATGAATGAATGAATGTGCATTCTTGGCTTACTTCGAGCACCCTGGAGGCTATTTCTGGCGTTTTCAAAACCTTTTGATTTACTACTGAGTTTGGCTTTGTTGTGTTTTTAGACATGTTTTGGGGTTAAGTTATCGTGTTAGTTTATCGTTAGACTTGGTAGAACAATACTCTTTTGTTCATGGTTTAGACTAGTACTGTGTGGTAGCATTTCTGGAAAGACTTGCATGCATGTATTGTCTTCTTTGACTTGTTTAGTTTATTACAACTTGCTTCTCATCCTTTATATATTATATTTGGGAGTTAAACTCCCAGAATTTTGAGATTTGTCATCCTGATGGGGAATTATTTTGACACTTACAAATGCTCAAAAAAAATATTGCATTGAATAAATTCAGAATTGGTAAGATATTCGTCCGAACTCGTGCATTGCACGGGTAGGAATACTAGTCTCTTTATTACTCCCTCTGTCCCCCATAGATTTTCCCAATAGTCCTTTTTTTTTGTCCACAATAGTTCTCATTTCATTTTTTAACCATTAAAATACCACAACTACCCCCACTTACTTTATTTATTACACCTCACCCACCTCATTTAATACACTCCACCCATTTTCATTAAGGGTATTATGGTAAACTTTCACCTTTTTTCAACTCTCCTTAAAAACCACCAAAAGTCAAAATGAGAACATCTTAGGTGGACGGAGGGAGTATTTTTGAAAATGTTACTTCCTTGGCAAATATGCTTTTCTTGATGCTCTTTATTGTTACTATTGTCCCAAAATAAATGACCCATTTGGGCTGTAATGGTTAATTAAATTTGTTTGGTTAAATTATTGATGCAAATATAATTCGATAGAGGGAGAATAGCATTCTCTTTTCTTTTTTTTTTATTTATAAAAAATGTACTCTTTAAGTTTCTAATAGAAAACAGAAGAAAAGAACTGCATTGACAAGAGTATATTAGAAGACACAAGGGAGAAAAACAGCACAGCCCTTAGTGAGCTGCTAAAAGGGTCATAAATCTGCACTACAAATTATTCACAGCTTTATATTCATGTGGTGCACATACAATGGGGCACAGGAGAAGCGAGTACGTCGCGATCCAGGTGATCGGTCACCGGCTGGCCCTGGCATTTCTGGTGCAGTTTCCTCATCGCGGTGGCAAAGTCTCGGTCGGAGATGGAGGCATCGTCCAAGTACGGGAACATCATTCGCTTGTTCGGCTTTATGTACTTCTTGTGTCCCATGAATGCTCGATGCCCCTGCCCTCGCAAATATAACATCATTAATATCTTAAATTATGTTTCTGTATAAACTTAGGGATCTATACTTTTTCTGAAATTAAATGAAATAAAAAGTTCAGAGTTTTTTTTTAGTATGTACGTTAAAGTTAATTTCATTGAAAACAGAGAATTATTTTACTCAGTACATGACAGTAAATTTTGTTTACCTCAAGAGCTCGGGCCATGTTCCCGCCATGGGAAGTGAGGAGGACGTCACTGTAGAGTGAAACGACGTAGTCTATGGCAGCCAAAACCGAAGCTCTGTCCAAGTAAGGCTCGAGCTCCCCCTCCCGAGCCAGCCCCTGCTTCGTCACCAGGTTCGGGAACGCCTCCCGCAGCCCCTCCACCGCCATCCCCCCGCCGAACGGCTCCCCGCCGGCGACGTACACCCTCCCGTCCCGCGGGGCCCCCAGCGCCCTCAGCAGCCTCCCCGTCTCCCTCGCGTTCAGCGGGCACAGCCCCGCCGCTCTCCTGGCGGCGCTCGTCGCGTTCACCTTCCCCGTCAGCAGCTCCGGGTGCGCCTCCCTCTCCCGCCCGATGGTCCCGTCGTGCTCCGCCCCCAGCCCGGCGGAGCACCCGCTCCTCACCCACACGTCCTTCTCCAGGCGGAGATGGACCGCTACGTACGGCCCTTCCGCCCACATCCTCCTCGCGAACCGGTGGCTTATGTCTCGAACCGGACCGGCGAATCTCAGCGCGTGGAACGCCACCTTGCACCGGAGCTTCTGGAGATCCGATGGGAGATTCTTTGAGAGCTTTGAATCCAGACCCTTCAGTATCAGAAGTCCTTCTTGATTCAGCTGCAAAAAAGATTGTAAATTTAACTTAGTTAATCAAATTAATTCGTTCTCTAACTTACCCAGATTAGTTCTTCTTCGTGTTCTTACTCGTTTGAAGAATTTGGCGCGCAGCCAGAGAGGTGAAACGTGGAATGGGATCCGATTCTCGACCGTCTGCTTGGAGACCAAATGCGAGGATGGCAATGAAGATACAATCCGAACGTCGGATTTCAAGACGTTCTTGAAGTGATCCACGTCGAAAATCTCAGAGAATTCGCTGCGAAAAAAGAAGGGATTTTTATAGGTTTCTTCCAAGAAAATGGGAGAGTTTTGTGATTGATTGGTAAAGATTTTACCTTTCGTCCTTCCAGATGCGGTTGATTTGGAGGACGGGGACGACGAGGGCGGCTTCGAGGATTCTGGCGATGACGACGGCGTCGACGATCTGGTTCCTCTGCTGGTTCAGGCCGCCGGAGACCACCACCACCAAGAACCGCCTCCTTTCTCCGGCGATGGCGGGGGACGCTTTCTTGTACTGGTCGCTGAAGTGGAGGCAGGGGCGGTAGCCTTTGCCGTCCGGCTGTTTCCAGAAATCCCTCTCCTCGTCGGAAATGTTCCCGGAGACCACCTCCCTGCGCAACAGCAGAGGCTCCACCGCGGTGGCGCCGGAAACGGCCATGAGAGTCTGCTCCGGCGGGAACAGAGGAGAGGGACGAATTGCCGAGCAGGGGTCCGAGCTCTGCCACAGGGCTGCGAAAGTGAGGATGGAGATCCAGAAGAAAGCGGCAGAGACGAGGAAGAAGACGAAGGTCACGGAGAAACAGCGGGATCTTCTTGAAGTAGCCTTCTTGGGGGTGAATTGCAGGGAATTGAGAAGCGAAATTGAGAGGAGATGGGAGAAGAATGATGGGTTCAGAGCTATGAAGAATGATGATGATGACGACGACGACGATGATGATGGGCTCTTGGAGTTCTTGTTTCTAACCGCCATGATTGCGTGCTGAAGAAATTTTGCAGAGAGAGAGATATATATCTATCTATCTGGTGGCTCTTTTATGATCAGCCAAGAAACGGCGATGCGAAATGGCGGGAAATAGAGAGCTGAGTTTCTGGAATCTCAACAAAAATGGATACTAACAAAGATTAGAAGCAAGCCCACTCCAAGCTTGACTATATAATGTATAGTTTTTGTTTGAAGTAGTTATTCCATAATCCTAAAATTTAGATCTAAAATGTAGATATTTTTATATCTTTTACCAGTTGACAAATATTTTTTTTTTATAAAAGACATAATTCTTTTATGATATTAATACACTATGTCCATAAATAAACATAGACCTTAGGACCATATAAGAATTTGCTTTTAATTTGATTTTTTGAGACATGCACAAACTAGTTCTCATTCTATTGCTATTAGGGGTGAGCATGGTACGGTATTTAGTTTGTACCGATACCGTACCAAATATTTCGGTTCGGTATGAGATTTTACTCCGTACCGATCCCGATCCCGAAATATCGGTTCGGTATGATTCGGGATGGTTCGGTATCGGTTTCGGTACAACTCGGGATGAATATACATACCTACTTTACACCTTAAAATTTAACAATGTCCCTTTATTTTTGAAAATTAAAAGTGAATTTAAATAAAAAAAATACGAAAAATTAAAAAAAATGAATATTTAAATGCAAGAGATGCGTATCAAAACTTAGTTTATATTTCACAAACTAAAAAAATGAACAACAACAAAGGAGTATTTCTAATATTTGTGAATAATTTTATGTTAATACACAAAAACTAAAACTCAAATAAAAGTATAATTTATACATAATAGAACTTAAACCAATTTTTTTAAATTATTATTTAGTGAAAGAATATAAAAATATTACTCCGGGGTATTATTTTTTATACTAATATTTTAGTATATATGTTCGGTTCGGGATTTTCGGTATGGGAAGTCACCTCGTACCGTTTCCAAATACCGTACCGACCATTCGGTTCGGTACGGTTCGGTCCCTTCTTGGTACTTTTTTGGTTTGGTATTTTTCGGTTCGGTATTCTCGGTTTTTTCGGGAAATTTCGGTATCGGTTCGATACTTGCTCACCCCTAATTGCTATCATGAATCTATCAATCAACGTCAAACTTAACACTTTTCCCTGAAGACCATTAATAAGGGGGAGACGCTAATTGAGGCAAAGCAGACACTCTCACTAAGAGCTCGACTACCAAGGAACATCTTTTGGCCCGCGAGATTTAAAGAATTCATTTAAATTGCATATTAGTTGTGATGGGTATATCCTTATACTTGACCTGGATGACCGAAAGGGACAGGTCAATACATGACCGGTCACTTTCTTCGATCACCAAATAAGGACAATTCTTCGATTGGGACGTGTCAAAAATTGACCGGTCACTTCCCTCAAAAAAGTGACTGGTCACATTTTGGGCGATAGCCAAATCGTCATGTAATGTTATGAAGAATATTCTGGAAAACCGAAGAGACGGGTTGAGCTCAAGGAATGACCGGGTAACAAAAGGTGACCAGTCATGACACGTTACTTGGCTAACATGGGTCCAATCTCTTAGGCGTGGCGAACCACGTCAAAGACCGAGGGAATACCCCGCTGCTCATCCATCACGAGGCATACAGTGAAATAAATGTTTGTCATCTTGCAGGGTTGATTGGATTGAGAATATCCATTTATAGTCTTTGATTGAACAGTGTCTTGGCTTGTAGCTATTAAAATCTATGATTGTACAATGCTTCAATTAACTACAGTGACCTTCCCACGGGCTTCCTATTTTGTCCATAGATGAACAGGGGAAGGTCACAAATCCTCCTCTATAAATATGATGATTGTGGATAGAGGAGGGGATCCAATTTTTTTTCTCACTAAAGTTCACTGTCGAGATAGAGTAAGAAATATAATTCGGACTGAGGAGATTTTACCCGGTCTAGATCATACTTTGTGTTCTTGGTGTGTGTTTTACTACGGGTTGAGTGTGTCCAGATCATATCCGGTCAATCCACTCATCTATATTTACACCATCAAGTTGTTATTTGTTTTTACTATTTATTGTAACTTAGTTTTTATTAGATGAATAGAATTATAAGTTCTTTCGTGAGTTTATTTACGGTTCTTTACTTTGTCGTTTTTATTGACTCGTAACAATAAAAAAATATAGTAAATTACTATTAGAGTTCTTGTTAATCGATAAATAGAGATACTCCCCCTCATATTAGGTCAATACCGGGAAAGAATATAGAACATTCTCTAATTCTCCTTGTTTCTTTTCTTTGAAACTTGAAGATGCTCAAAGTTTTTATTAGATGATACTCTTTTCAACGGCATCATTGGTACTTTCATCATGACTTCCACTGCAAAGGTTTCTACTTTCTAATGATACACTCGAGCAGTTAATTGTGGATGTGTGGAGCTCGACAACTACGATGGCCTCATGATTGGACTCAATCGGATCAAGACCCTTGCGCGAACACTATCACAAACAATGGCAAAGGCTTCCAAGGGTATTCGGCCACACTGAATCTCAAACTCGATCCACCTAAATTTTAAGGCTTGGACGTGCATACTTGGATTTTTAAAGTCCAGGAGTATTCCTATTTTTTTCAGAACTCCTTGGATCTGCACTTTGCACTTGTGGGAGTCTTTCTCGAAGGTGAGCCGGCTGATTGGTTTTAATATAAAAGGTCTAAATATTCAATTAAATAAGTAAATAAACAAGCATTATATTTAATTATTATAATTAATTAGAAACTATTATAATTGATTATCAATTAAATTAAATTAGTGATTATATTAATTGCTAAATATCTAAATATAAATATTACCTCCTCTATCCATCTAGCACATTATTCCCAATAGTTTAAATGTTTGTGTGCGTGGCTTCAAGTTGTGAAATACTCTGTAGTAGTTGGATAGCGGCACCAATGGAGGTGCTCTTAAGATGACGACGAATACCCTAAGACCTATAGAAAAATGAAAATGTTAGAACATTTTTTGAAGCTTAGCCGACATTGTCACAAGTGGAGCTTAACATCGACCAACAAAGCTGACCCTAGTTTCATGGGAGTTCTCCATTCCGTGAGCCATGTTCCAATGTAATAAGTATCTCTAGGAACATTTGACAAAAAAATATAATGGATAAATAAATCTTAACAATGTCAAACAGTCTGACTCATCTAAGATAGTTGTTTTTCCCTCTTATCCCTTGCTGCAAAAATCTCGTTGAAGAACTGACACAAGAGAATATCCATCATAACAAATTCGGCGTAACGTGGTTGGATGGTCAATCATTCCCCATGTTAGAACAGTTTAAGTTACAACCCGTGACTAGCATCGTGAACAAAACTTGACTAGGAACATGCATGCCATATAGCCCGCTTGTTTGAATCACAATTGTGGCGCCTCTTTGCCTTTCAGGTAGGTTTGAGTCGGTGGGTATATACATACCTCCTTGCGCCACAACCTTTCATCCCTCATTCATGTGCACCATATCCTCACCCCGCTAAATTTCTTACTCAGTTTTAAGCCTCCCCTTGTCCTTCGTGCCTGGACGACTAGATTCCTCTCTCTTGGACTGCTAGGACGAATTGGACTCTACTATTCCTTTCAGTCCAATCTTTATGATCTTAGGCCAATAAAACTAGTTGAACTCTACCATGCATTCCACTCAACTCAGTCTCTCTTATAGCTTTAGGACGTGTTGGAACCCATCCTTCCGGCTGACCCAATTAATATTTTTTTGGGTCAAGTACTCCCTCTATTCTTACTTTGGCCAGTTATGAGCCCATCCTTTTATATTTGCACTTATGGGGCAATTCCCATGAGTAGTGTTTGGAAATTAAGAATTCACTTAAATTCTCAAATTTTAAATTTAAAATTTGTATTCATATATTTGAAATTACGAGAGAGAGTGTATGAATTTATATTTGATCTGTATTGGGAATTATAGAAATTTGATTCAAATCTAATTTTTTTAGACTTTCAAATTTGTAATTTGGGTCAAATCTGAATTTGAAATTCAATTTAAGTTTTGAAAAAATAATAGTTGTGCTATCGTGGTCCTAAGTCCCACATGTATAATATAGACTCTCCCACATATGAGGTATTTTTTTTAATTTTTAGGGACTCGTAGTTGGGATATCTTTCACTTTACAAGACCCAATGCATTTAACCATTTCATATTTTAGGGTTCACAAAATCAGTATTAATTAAGGGCTACAAATGAATTTACTTTCAAACAAACCAATAAAACCATAATTGAGAAGAACATTTTGAAATTAAAAAAAACAACAATGACAAAGTATAGTTACAACAATATTTGTACTCTATATAAGAAAATTAAAAAGAATATTTTTAGGCTATTTTCAAAATGACAATGACAACATGTATTTAGAATAACACAATACACCTCTGTCTGAGAATGATCTCCCTATTTGACTTTTTGGTTAAAATCTATAAACTTTAACTTTGAGATGCAAAAAAATATACTCCGTATTATGTTTTGATATATAAATATAATATTAATAGTTTGAAATAGTAAATTTTTATAATATTTCTATGTATAAATAAACAAAAATAATCAAAGTGTTAATTTAAAACTAGGGGTGGACACGGTACCGGTACGGTACCGTCACCGGCAACGGTACCGCCGGTACCCGCCACTGTCACCGGCGTCGTCGCCGTGCCAACGGTTCCGGGAACCGGTACCGGTACCGCCACTTTCGGTACCGGTTCCGGTACCTATTTTTTGGTACCGGTACCGGCGGTACCGGTCCGGTTCCGGTTAATTTTTTTTTTGTTCATTTGAAATCCTGCAAAAAGTAAAAAAAAAAGTGGGGGGCACACCTCAAACGGCTATTTAGCAAAGAAAGGGAAACGTGCCCAGTCTTCGACGAGTTCAAGTGGTACAACAGTAAGCTCGCACAACGAACTTGCTATGTACCAGGGTGTGCCATGCGATTACGATGACGACGATGTCGATTTTGACGTGCTTGGAAGGTGGAAGCGGAACGAACACATGTTCCCATGTCTCGGCATGCTAGCAAGACAAGTGTTGTCTGTCCCAGTATCAACCGTAGCAGTTGAACGAGAATTCAGTGCTGGCGGCAACATTCTAACCGACTACCGAAGTTGTCTTAACGCTGAATCTCTTGAAACACTGGTTTGTAACCAAGATTGGCTCTTGGCAAGACGTCGGGCTCAAGAGTCATCGTACCAACTCGAATCGGAGCATTACATGAATGCAACCACAGATGGAAGTCCGAGTTCTGAAGAATAAGTTATAAATTTTTTTTATGTTAATGTAAATATGTAATTAATTTTTTTAGGTGAGCGATATATAAGCTCCTTCGAGGGTTTCTTTACGGTTCTTTACCTCGTCGCTTTTTTTGAACCGTCAGGATATTAAATGTGGTTGTTCTTCAGTTAGTGTATTACTCATTTTCAATATTTAAATAACAACTACATTTTTAGATTTTTTATNTTTCCTTAAACAATTGCAAATTTACAATTTTATACTTTAAAAATTTTAAAAAAAAAGCAAAAAAAAAATAGGGGGGGGGCGAACCGGGCCGGTCCGGTACCGGAACCGCTGGTCCGGGAACCGGAACCGGTACCGGCCGGCACGGTAACATTTCCGGTTACTTGGGGTGTCCACCCCTATTTAAAACTATATAAAAAAGAAGATTTTCCCCAAACGAAGGGAGTAATTATAGGTGTAATATCAAAAACATGGTATGTTTTATTGTTTCCAAGAATTGTACATGAAAAAATTTACAGAAAAAATTTACACATCGTAAGTAAATGTTTTAGGCTATGTTTGATACACGAAATTAAAATTGAATTCTAATTTAATTTGGAACTATTTATTTAGTCTAATTCAGTAACATATATAGAATTATACTCCATATTCTAATTCTAATTTTTTTATTTGGTAACACAAAAATATACTCCGTATATATAGAATTGATATGAAATTATATTACCAAATTTTTGTGCTTCCAAATTTACATATGGAGTATTTTTAGAATTGATAAAAGAAATGGAATTAGAATTAAATTTAAAATTCACATATTTTTATATGCTATCAAAAAGTTTTCTAAGTACTCAAATGAATAAATCCATTTCTCTTCTGGTTGCAAGAGGCGCTCGGACTCTCCTGCAAGCACTAGGCGGTAGCGGATCTGGTTGACTTCTCCAATGCTTCTCCGATAGCCTTTCTCGCCGTCGGCATATGATATGATTACTATCTATTGCTCTGTATCTATCGTTGAATCACTTTTTTGTTTTTTGTTTCAGAGGAGTCTAAGAAGAAGAACAAATCTCGGGGAGAGAAGACTGTGATTGGAATGCCGGTCCAAATATTGCTTCACTAAACCACCAGGAAAACTCTAGCACTGTTGCTTTCTTCATTTTCTGAACGTGCAAATTGAGTTTTCTATTTACGAAGTAGTGTTTGTTTTGCTTGCATATCAGTTGATGTCAAAATCGGATTATAATTTAGAAGTCAGCACTTTTGTTGTTTTTCTTTTCGTGTGCAAATCGTTTGTTTTGACATATGAAAACTCTAGCGTTTGGAAATGTTTATTGTTTTTTTGTATATTTTTTTTTTCTGGAAATGGATCCTATATACGTGGAGCTCGTATGGATAGTGTCTGCCTGAAATCAAAGCTAATTACAAAGGTAATCTAAGTTTGTGTTGAAAGGAGATGCCAAACGGTGCTTGCTTTATAGTGTGTGTGTTTCATGTTTCTAAAAGTGGTTATATAGAAGATGATGTACATATATATGGAGGTCAGGAGGTGGTCTATGGCACATGCCCGCAATTTATCTATTGCCTGAAGGATAGTTATATAACAAAGGAAAGACGGATCTCAGACAAATGTTGGCTTGTTCGAATCTAGGTGCCTATTACTAGGATGCCAACTTTGGCAATACGCTTGCTAGGTACATATGTTGGCATCAACATATGGTTGTTTCTTTTACATTTTGTTGATAAGTTTCTCTTAATGCATAGACATATGGTTGTTTTTTTTATATTTTGGCTCCATGCTCACTTCTATGGTTCATGACTTGTCTAAAATGTCTTCTCTTTGATTTAAATTATATGGACCTCTTATCTTATATAGAAACCCTATGACAGCATAAGGGGATTGCTAAATGCAGTTTTTTTTGCAATCATTACCTTTTGATGCTGCTTCCAACCATCCAACATATTTGTGCCAAAATATTGTGCTTGCAAAATGGAATTTTCATCTGGTCACTATAACCTTTTATATACGGAGTATACATTTTTCTCTCTTGGTTTCATATACGAAGGTGACTGTGCTCTTTTCTGGTTTGACAGGGGAGTTAATGGTGTACAATATCTTCTTTCTTCCATTTTTTGCTACACTCGTGAAGTTAGCTTTTTTTTTGCCTCATGGGGTATGATTCATAAAAGTTAATAATTAAGATTTGTGAATCATACCCCATAGCTTTTTTTCCCAGAATTTCAATTCCTGAAGCATATAACATTGAAATCCCATGGAGGTTCTGTCGAATATATGGACTCCACACAAGTGATCGTGTTGGCATGCTGATTCCCGAGGCCAAAAACAAGTAGATTTAAGGGCCATTTATGTTGCAATAGACAAGTCGGGCAAATGCTCATCAAAGTAGGTTTTTTTTAGTTTTTCTAGTATGAGTGTTTCTTCTTTTCCTAGTAGGTGTTTAATTTTGTTTTTCTTGTCATCCAAGTTGGGGTTGGCTATAAATACGTCAGCCAATCTAAGGGTTATGTACTTATGTATCTCTTGCAATCAAGTTTTGAGTAATACTTCCTTGGCTATAAAAGTCATGGAGAGTTATTCCAAAGTTTGTGTTTTTTGATATTAACTCTAACTTGAATGGGAAGGAGGTGATTAGTAAAGATCTCTAGCTCTCATTGAGGATATGACCTTAGATAGGAGTGTTTGGAGGTGTGCCATGGACCACCTCCTGACCTCCTTATATATGTACATCATCTTCTATATAACTACTTTTAGATGCATGAAACACATACACACTATATAGTTGTTTTTACCCTTGTCGTTATGTGCTTTCTTTGTTTGGTGCTTTATGCTTGCTGCGTTTCCCTTTGTACATCTTGGTCTGCTCTTTGCTCTTTCTTACCCCTTTTCTGTGCTATGTGCTTTAGGTGCTCAACTTGTTGCCTGTGTTACTTGAGCCAGGGGTATTTTTGAAAGAGCTTCTCTACTTTCGAGTAGGGATAAGGTCTGCCTACACACACCTCCCTAATCCTACCGCCTACTTTTGTGGTATTCAACTGGGTTGTCATTGTTAATTCTAACTTGTGCTTGTGTTCTGTTCCAGTAGCGATCAAAGCGGTCGTGATCAAAGAGAAAAACGACAATCACCTACAGCCGAAAAGCGTAGATGGGTGATGAGGAGCACCTCGTGAAGAACAACTCAATGTCGCTCAAATGCCCGATGTTGACTTCTGTCAACTACACCATCCAGGCAATGAGAATCCAGGCAATCTTCAACTTTCATGGTGTATGGGATGCCATTGAACCGGGGACGGAGGTGGGCGCCAAGAAAAACAACATGGCAGTTTCCCTTTTGCTCGAATCCATTGTCGAATAGCATATCTTGCAAGTGTGCAATCTCAAGATGGCGAATGAAGCAAGACTGCAAACTTTGAAAACTGAGTTTGATGGGTTAAAGATGAAAGACTCAGAAACAATTGATAACTTTGCAAGCAAGTTGTCAGGCATAGCATCTAAGTCGGCTACCCTTGGAGAAATCTTGGAAGAAAATAAGCTTGTTACGGAGTTCCTTGCGAGTTTACCAAGGCGGTTTATCCATATTATGTTGCATCAACTGAACAAGTCTTGGATCTTAAGACTGTCGGATTTGAAGAAGTAGTGGGACAATTAAAAGCATACGAGGAGAGTGCATAAAGGATGAAGAAATGCCAACTGACTCTCAAAGTAAGCTTTTATAATAAAGTAGAATCATCTTCTAATCTGTCTAAATCTCGGTACAAGAACCACGAAGTAGAGTTCATGAATACCGTGTACCACAAGAAGCTGTTAATGGGGTGAAAAGTAGTATGGAAAAGGCAAGGATCACTCCAAAGTTCAGTGCTTTAGATGTGACCAATACGGACACTTCGCTTCAAACTGTGCAGAACGCAATACATGAAACTGTTTTCTTGCATGAAAACAATGTGTCTCTGAACAGTTTCAAGAATGAGGAAAAAGAAGAAGACATATGGTACATAGATAAAGGAGCCACTAAACATGACTGGTAACTGTTGATACCTTTTGGAGCTCAATTAATAAGTCTCTGGGAATGTTAGTTTTGGGGACGGCTCGTGGGTCGCAATAAAGGGAAAGAGCTCGATTTTGTTTGAAACCAAATCTAGGGAACAAAAGCTTTTAACTACCATCTTTTTTATCCCCGAACTCCATAACATTATAAGCTTGGGACAAACAAATAAATCTGGTTGTAAAATCTTTGATGGATGAAGATTATCTAGTCATGTATGACAGGAGCGGGCAGTTGATAATGAAGGCGAAGCGAACCAAGAATAAAATAAGGCTCACAACGGGAAAACCCATTTGTCTCAATGCACGACTTGAAGACCATGCATGGCACTGGCATTCAAGGCTTGCGCATCTTAATTTCTAGTCAACGAAACACATGAGTACGAGATAGTTGACGATTGGTTTACCTCTTATCAATCATCGGAACCAAATTTGTGACCCTTGCTTGATGGGAAAGCAAGCGAGAAGCCCACGTCAGAATCATACTGTGTTTCGAGCTTCAAAAGGACTAGAACTATTCCATGGTGATGTGGCCTGGTTATTCCTCGACACTAGGGGGGGGTGACAAATATATTTTTGTACTTATTGACGACTTTAGTCGTTATATGTGGATGTGCCTTTTGAAGACGAAAGATGAGAACTTTGCTGTGTTCAACAAGTTTAAAGCTCAAATCGAGTTAGAAACAGGGATGAAGATCATAACCCTCCGGACCGATAGGGGAGGAGAGTTCCATTCCAAGGAGTTCAACCGGTTTTGCAAAGATCAAGGAATCAAGAGGCATCTCACTGCCCCATATAAGCCTCAACAAAATGGAGTGGTTGAACGGCATATTAGAATAATTATGGAGATGACCCGAAGCCTCCTGAAAGCTATGAAAGTACCTCATGCCTTGTGAGGTGAAGCCGTAATGCACACTGCCTACATAATGACATTGAACCACTTGAATAAGCTTGATGACAGATCAAGGAAGCTTGTACATCTTGGGTGTGAACGAAGGGATACCGACTATTTGATCCCCAAAGCCATCGGGTGGTTATTAGTCGGGATGTGGTGTTTAATGAAAAATAGGGCTGGAACTCGTCAGTATTCAAGTGTGAAATGGGTTTCAAAGGGATGAAGATTTCTCGATAGCGGATGTAATCGAGACTTGTGGTTATCATTTGGGGTCAATAAATGATGCAGAATTCAGCTCAGAGAGGAGCAATGGTACTGGCCAGGTCACAGCTGTCAGTCTCAGGACTGCTGCTTGCGTTAGTCTCAGGATTGGCATCACTGGTTCTCCTCAGTCCTATCAGCCCTCGATGCCACAAACAGCAACTCCAAACCAGAGAGAATGCGCCAAGGAGACCCTCTCGAGTGCCTGTGACAGCAGTCAGATTTAATGATTATCTTATGAGCTGAAGGATTGATCATGAAGATCTCAAGCTAGCCAAGGATGCGGAACCCAATTCATATGAAAAGGCCAAGTGAAGGACGGATTGGGTGAAAGCAGTGAAGGATGGGTTGGATTCAATTCACAAAACTAAGACATGGCAACTCATTAATCCTGCAAGTAATGTCAAGCCAGTAATGGGTCGATCAACAAATATAAGGCATGACTCGTTGCTAAAGGGTACATGCAACAACAAGGAATTGACGATGAAGTTCTTGCACCCGTAGCCCAAATTGAAAGGATTCGTTTGCTTATAGAACTAGCTCCGAGTGAAGGTCGGGAACTACATCATTTAGACATGAATTCAGCTTTCTTCACGGAGAACTAAAGGAGGATGTATACATTGTGCAAGGGGGAAGAACGTAAAGTGTACAAGTTTTCAAGTTCAAAAAGGCGATATATGGGTTGAAACAAGCCCTAAGGGCATGGAATACTAAAATCGATTGGATACTCAAAAGTCTCAAACTTATTAAGTGTGCTGACGAACAAGCGGTTCAATCAAACGACACGATCTTGATCAGGGCTATTTATGTTGATGACCTTCTTGTTACGGGATCAAATAAGAAAGAAGTGCAAAGATTTAAGATGCAAATGGAACAAAGTTATGAGATGAGTGATCTCGGAACACTTTCCTATTATTTGGGAATCGAAGTTCAAGAAGGAAGACGTGGGATTTCAATAAAGCAAGAAGGGTACACAATTAAGGTTATACAGGATGTCGGGATGCACGAGTACAGTCCCACACAATATTCTATGGAACCAGGAAATCAGGAATGAAGCTTACGAAAGAAGAAGCCGGGAAAAGTATTGATGCCATGAAGTTTCGAACTCAAATCGAGTGCTTACGATACTTCACATTCGATCAGACTTTTTGTTTCCTGTTGGAATAAGTCGGTATATGCAAGACCCTAAAGAATCTCACGTAGCAGCAATGGAGCAAGTTTTGAGAAATCTAGAGGGAAGCTTAAGCCTTGACATTCACAATCCACAAAATGGAACCAAGGAATTAATGGGTTTTTGGTTTTAGTGATAGCTCACACAATGCCGATAAAGATGATGGGAGGAGCACAATGGGTCATATCTACATTGGTAATTCGCCAATTACATGATGTTCTCAAAAGCAAAGTACCGTGGCACTATCACCTTGTGAAGCCGAGTTCATGGCTGCAACGTTGGTGTCATGTCAAGCTATTTGGCTAAGAGAATTACTAAGTGAGATTACCAGAAGACCACTACGAACTGTGCAACTAAGGGTGGACTATGTTTCGGCAATAGCATCAACAAAGAATCCCGTCTTTCATGGTAAAGTAAGCATATTCATGCCCGATACTATTTCATTCGTGAATGTGTTGAGAAGGGCCAAATCAAAGTTGAGCGTATAAGTAGAGATGAGCAAAAGGGAGACATACTAACGAAAGCCCTCTCGCGAATCAAGTTCAAGGAGACGTGGGAGCTACTTTGAGTGGAAGACCTGTCTAATTCAGTTTGGGAATTGGGGGGGTGATGGTTGTTGGCATGCTAATTCCCAAGGCCCAAAAAACGAGTAGGTTTAAGGGCCGATAATGTTGCAATAGACAACTCGGTCGAATGCCCATCAAAGTAGCGTTTTTTTAGTTTTCCAAGTAGGAGTGTTATTACCTTTCCTAGTAGGAGTTTAATTATGTTTTTCTTGTCATCCAAGTTGGGTTTGGCTATAAATACATCAACCAATCTAAGGGTTATCTATCTCTTGTAATCAAGTTTAGATTAATATTTTCATGGTTATAAAAGTCTTGGAGAGTTATTCCAAAGTTTATGTGTTTTCTTGATGTTAATTCTAACTTGAGATCGGAAGTCCAGTGGAAAGAAAATACTGCCTATAAACATCATTCACTTTTCATGTAAATAATAATCTATCTAGCTTGTGTTTGTAGTTTTTTATATTCTTGCCCTTATTGCATAATTTCATGTAATTGCACTTATGAGTTCCATAACTTGTTTTGAAGATATGTGATGTGTGGTGATAACCTTAGTCACATATTATAATCTCAATTTTTTTCCAGCTTTTACAATTCTTGCTGGTTGTTGACTTGGTGATTTATGTGATTCTGAATTGCAGGCACATGTCACTCAACCAAGTCTTATTGGTGCTGCAATGAAGGAGATGTGTATTCAAGAAGACTTGATAGGTAATACAAATACATCCACAGTAATGAAAGTGTTCTGCAGTTCATAGAAATTTAAAAAAACAGTGCCAAGCTCAAAATATATTGAATCGAGTAATAATACAAGAATTTTGTTAACAGAAGAATTCAAGCATGTGAATTATGCAATTGAAAATTGTACAAGCAAATCCTTCAAATAATTTGTTCATCCTCTGAACTAATAACAGCACCTCTTCACCGTACTAATTTCATTCCTCTCCATCATTGCAGTGGAACAGCTACAACTACCAATTTGAAGTGATATACTCAAGACATTCTCCCTGTCATTCTCAGCCCAGACCCCAGGCTTATCGTCGACAATCAACACGACTCTCGGATGGGACAAAACAATATCCAGCCCCTTTTGCTTCTCGACGGTGCAATTTTCTCTAGAATAAATTGTCAAATTGGGATCTCCGAACAATCCCGAGTCCTCGGGATCCAAAAGCTTCACGACCCTCTTTGCATACTCAACAGAGCCCATGGTGTAGACAGACAAATCGAACATTTTGCAGGCCTCCTCCAAGAAAGACCGGACCCCCGGCCTAAGCTTCAGCATCCAAGCACCATCGTCGAGCAAGTACGAATCTTCATGGCTGGTGTTCTTGAACCATTCCTTGTCTTGAATGGTTAGTTTCGAACCCTTCACACAGTGGACCAGAGTATGGTCCAAATCAAGGACAAGATGAAGCTTCTTGCCGCTCAGCAACCTCTCCAAGTCTCTGTCACGAACCCCGGCGGTAATGGAGTCCCAATCAGGGGATTCCATGTTTAGTGTTATCGGAATTATTGGGAAGATGATATATTTGTGGCGGCAGGGTTTAATTTCTTTCTTTTTTTTTTGTTGTAGAAGGTTGGTTTATAAGGTTACTTATAAATAGTCCGTAATAGGGTAAACTTGGTTTCCGAGTTTAATTGGGAATGCATATTTAGGAAAGTAATATTTCTTGCAACAAAGGCTGAGTAATGATCCACGTGTAATGAATGATATGGATACTGCATTTTGAGTTGCCGCGTATTTTTTTTTTTCTGAAAAAAAAATATGATAATAATAATACATACGAATTTGTACTTGTTTATTTTTATTTTATTTTTGTGCCTCCATTAAATGTCTACTTTTTATATTGAGTGGTTTTTTTATGAATTGGCTAAAATATCTTGTCTAAGGTATGATGTGACTTGGTGAGCATTCTTGACATGAACGAATGTAAGAGCACTGGTAATGGTCATGAAGCCTCGGGGTTTCAAACCAGGGCTTCAAATTTTCTCTCTCTGCCACGTCAGCTTTAACTTACACCTAAAATTCACTGGAAATGGTTTTGAAGTCCCGGGGCTTCAAACTGGGGCTTCAAACCTTCATTTTTTACATTTTAAATATACATCTTCTAAATTTAAATTAATAAATTTAAATTAATTTATTATTTTAATTAATCGCAATGACACTAGTGCATAAAACAAAATTAAATTCATTATAAAAAATCTTACATTCATAAAAAAAACATTCAAAAAAAATTACATAAAAAAACAACAGTATAAGGAAATCACTAATTATTCGAACGACTAAAGATATACTCGATCAAATCCGCCGTTAGTGCATTGTGAATCTCTCGGCTTCGAATTTCTTGGCGGTTGCGTCGTTTCTTTTCTTCGGTGATTTCTTCGTACATAAGCACCTCCTCGTCCGGGTTATATTGACAAATCGCAGCCCCGTTATTCTCTATGATCATATTATGAAGAATAATACATGCGTACATGATATTCCTCATTTTTGTCTGAGAATAACATTTCGACGGACGATCTAGAATGTGCCACTTAGCTTTCAAGACCCCAAAGGCTCGTTCAATATCTTTTCTCGCCGCCTCTTGAGCTTTTTTGTAGGTTTGGCGTTTAAGACCCATTGGTTCGGAGAGAGAT